TATCAAGATCGCATGCGATACCGCGGGTTAGTCAAAATGCGGTTCATTAACACTTCAAAGCTTCATCCAAAATGTCTTCACACACTCGGGCTGGGAGTAGCGTGAGAATCGGCCACTCAGTCGTTGTCGCTGAGGCTTCGGTGATGACATCAACGTTGGTGGTGGCACTGATAGTAGTGACTGGGAAGTCAGCTGTAGTCGCGAGATTAGTGGCGACGTCGTCTGTTGTAGTAGCAGCAAATGTGGTGGATGAGGCCTCTCCAGTAACATCCGGAGATGTGGTTACTTCCGAGGGAGCTGCTGTGCTGGTCGTTTGTGCAACAGTGGTAGGCTCGACAGGAGCGTCGGTAGGAACATCAGCCGCATCGGCTGTAGTTACCATTCCGGTAGTGTCAGCAGTAACAGAAGTGGCCGTATTGGTTTCTTCGGGAGCGGCTGTTGTGCCGTCCTGGATTGTGGTAGTCTCAGTGACTTCATCGGTGGCTTCACTTGGAGTAGTGGTAACTGCAGCAGCCTCGCAAGTGCATGGCGCATTGGATGAATGGCAGGTGCTTGGTGTAGCCCAGTACTTGCAGTAGGAGCCAGGAGTATCCGAGGCACAACCAGCATCACAATTACGGGGAACTTCAGTTGTCTCACCCGACCCGCAGTAACAAGGGACGTTGGAGCCAAAGCACCTGCTAGGTGTCTGCCAGTATTTACAATACGACCCGGGATAGGTGGCGGCACACTCGGCATCGCACTCGGTGGTGTTACCCATCACGTATGTGATGCCCTGAAGAACACTGAGACCAACGATGACGAAGGGGAAGGAACGGATAGTCATCTTCCACGAATGTGAATAAACTGCGGGAAGTGCGGAGCTAGACTGGACCTGTGAGGGCCTATGCTAACCCCATAGATTGATGCTAATTAGGCAAATCGTTCAAGCCTTAGTATGTCCAACGATGTTCGTTCACTGTAGCTGAACAATAGTGCGCCCGATGTCTATCTCGCCTAATCGTTTCACAAGATACTGCATCTTATACAGTGTGGTGCGCGGTGCGTTCTCAGCCGCTCTTCTTCCCAGAAGTTTGGTCGGCTTCTCGCAAGCACCGTTTTAACTGATTAGACATCTCCTGGTTCGGGTCTGCGGCTCGTTCTGATTGCCAAGGCAAATGTGATGATCATGCAGGGCAATCGCTCGTCGCCGCTCACTATCAGCGCTTAGGGGAATATATTCCAGATTACAACGGGCAGTGTAACCTGCAGCGATCAGGCTTCGTGAACGTCTTCTAACTCTGCGTGGCT